GTGATTTCTGATTCTCAACAATTTCTGATTGTAAACCAATGCATACATGGTTTGTGATTGCTGATTACTGACCTGAGTAGACGAAATTTCATCTGGGATCACATGTGTTACTATCAAAGTGTTTCTGTTTAAAACAGTGCTAAGATTTTTCATTCTACAACTACATTAAAGCACAGGTGAGAATGGAACAGTCACCCTGGTTTCTGATGGTTTAACCAACAATTCCAACAATTTGCAGCAGGTGATCATTGGCATGAATACAGTGCTGTAAATCACAGGTACACATTTACACACCAAGTCAGGCACAGTGCAAACAAAGCTCCCTCTCCCAACACTCATTTCATCTGTAGTAAACAGAATCAAGTCATCATTTATTTGAATACAATTTAAATATTTCCTATACAGGGTGGTACATAACAATGCTCATTTTTATTTCATGATACCATGCAAGCAATCCAAGAAGTCAAGAGTGTTCTTGTGCAAACTGCTTGGTAAGGAAGGAATCTGCACGTGAGGTCATTCCATTCTGTTATTGAACAGTGATAACAAAGAAGAGATAAAGACACTGTAATTCCATACAAGCTTTGAAAGGCATTATATTAGGATACTTATATTATATATCCACCACAAACACTTCTAAATATTAATATTATTTCTTCCTTGTTCAAGTTCTTCCCTCAGCATTTGCAATTGACGTTTTTTCTACTATGATCTTGAAATAAAAGAGCATTTAATAACAGACTATTTCATGTCCATTGTAACAGAAAAGATAAAAAACTATTCTTGGAGACACAGTGTGCATCAAGCATGGGTTCTGAATGGCTTTACTCTCACACTGTGTACTGCATAAATCCACACAAAACACTGCATGCACTTTCTTTTCCAAGTGAATGCATCTGTGCATTTGTACATTTGCTTCCCATTCCCGGAAGCTCCTACATTCAAACCTTAGGCACCTGTGTGCATGAAAAAGAAGCTTTAGAAATTACAGTGCTCCTACTAAGAGTGATGAAGGGATGTGTTGGGGCTTTTAGGAGCTGGTGCTCTGGTTGAAAATATAGGGATAAAATGTTTCTAAAATCATGGGATATTCAGGGGAGTTGGAAAGAAAGGCTGGGCCTGGAAAAATGTTAGGGGAGGCCCTCAGAAAACGTTAGGCTTTAATGGATCATGTGAAACTGCAGCTGTGTAATCATTTAATGAACAAGATAAAAGATATGATTGCTATATGATAAATGATATGATTGTTAAATGTGATCATTGTTTGGTAATTGGATATAATTATTGTTTATTTGTAACAAGAAATTACAAAAATCCATGCTTGGATGAAATCAGTGTATTGGATTTTTGGATTGGGAGTGGCACTGGGGACACTGGGACAGTCCCAGCCCTGTGTCCCCAAGGGCTTGTCCTCAGCACCAGCTCCAAGCAGGACGCCAGGGACCCAACCACCAGCTCCAGTTTGCACTGGGAACAGGGAAATGGGGACACTGGGGACACTGGGAGTGGCACTGGGACAGTCCCAGTCCAGTGTCCCCCAAGGGCTCATCAAATTACAAGAATCCATGCTTGGATGAAATCAACGTATACAATAGAACAATGTAAGTTTAAGAATTAATATGGAGTTATATAATAAGGGTATAAAACTGTGTTCATCCCGAACCCATGGTGGAGTCAGATTTGGGTCTGTGCCCCTGACACCCAGAGCTCTTCAACAAAAGCAGCTGCATAGAATCAATCTGTGATTATGTGCTCCTGAACTGGTGAGACAACTAAAGACAAAGCTTAAACAAATCACATTCAATGTCAACGCAAACCACATATGCTATGGAACCTGCAGGGGCTCTGAAATGTGTGAAGACAGCTGAGTTACCCCTCTACAAACATCCCTTGCTGGCAACAGCTCCAAACAGCAACGCAATTTTGTCCCATCTCGAAAACATCACAGAGTTCCAGACGGACACTTTCACTAGACAAGCAGCAATTCCAGCCGGCCGGTTGAAATTCGCGTCTCTAAAGCGCCGAACCCATCCTCTCAACCTCTGAGAAACCAAAAACAGAACCGGCGTGGTGCTGTGCTCTAGGGCTTGACCTTGCCCTCCTTGAGCAGGCGCTCGTTGAGCTGGCAGAGCTGCCGCAGGAA